TAAACGCTAACCCTAACATTAATGAACTTTAAAAAATTTTGCTGCGCCACCAACCTGGCACAGAATTTTTTTGTGCGACCAAAACTAAGATTGAACGAAAAATTGCTGCAGAAAATAGAAATGATCGTAAATTTTTCACATCTCTACAGAAAATAAATAATACAAATCCCGACATCCAAAATTTCACCAGGCATCACGTGGCATACAATTAAAAGTTTAAGGCAAACAATGATTGTCATGTCGGATTATAGTTTTTGAAATTCGGATGTCAAGATTTGTGGTAGAACTGCCAAGCGCAGGTTAGGATTACTATTTATATATAAATATCAAGAATATAATTTATGCGATATGTAGGTTAATCTGACTTTAATGATAATGTTAGTTGATAGCCCTCCCACAAAAAATCCCTCTCATGACTTTTATCCAATTAGATCGAAAGATCAAGTGTAAACAATCTTTAGGGTTAGTCTAATGTTTTGTCGAAGATCTACGGGAGTTGCGTTAATGGACTCCCTAAAAAAGCAAAGATCAGACGTAAAATGTTATCATTCGATTACTACATCTAATCAGAATCAAGACTTTGTGTACGAATGCAAAACTCGAATTGAATAATCCACTTCGTTTCACGTATAAAAAATTTTGTTGTTAGGCCATACAAACTTACGATTTCGGTTTTCATGTCACCAACTGACCTACTGTTATCATAATTTCCGGGACACCTGCCCATTACCCGAATTTTTTTTGGTCGTTCACTAAATTATCTAACTCTCCAGAAGTTACATCACTGCCTTCGGACTGAAAGTCCGAGGACAGCGATGTAATTTCTGGAGAGTTAGATAATTTAGTGAACGACCAAAAAAAATTCGGGTAATGGGCAGGTGTCCCGGAAATTATGATACGTAATAGCTGTAATAAAAAAAATTTCGCAAAACGCACCCTTTTGGATTCTTAAAAAAAGGCCACTTTTTTATATTATCCCGTATTATTCAACTTTTCTACCTTAATAAAAAAGAGGGCCTTTTTTTATGAATCGACCATGTGAATCGAAACATTAATTGATATACTGTACATAAAGTCATACAAAACCAATGTATTTCCCTAAAAATAAAAGAATAATGAAAAACTGCCCTTCTCTTTGTTATATGATATTTTATTACTAAAAGTTACTTTATAATGCCAATGGAAAGTTTCCATATTCTATTACGATATTACAGTATTTCAACACAATAATAATAGTGTTATTTATTTAGATACAACAGCATTACGTTGTTACAGAATTAGAGCTTACGATTTACTTGTCAAATTAATTCTACAGTCAAAGTTTGTAGTAATAAAACCGGGAGCGAGAGCCTGATTAGAATAGGAAATGGCTACAAATCTTTCTAGCAAAACTTTGCAAACTATATTTAAATTTATTGACACCAAAGAGGAGCGTGATTATGGTACTTTATATAATTGTGCTTTGGTCAACCGACAATGGTGTAATAATGTGATTCCTACGCTTTGGAAAGATCCCTTTTACGGTGAAAAAAGTGATGTCGTGATAAAGATATTATTGTCGTTTCTTGATAATGATCAATTACAACAACTTGGTTCTATTAGAGATGGACTACCTCTTAATGAAAATAAAATGTTTGACTATCCTTCTTTTATTCAACATTTAAATTTGGATTTTATCTATGAATCTCTTTACGACTTGTATTCAGGTTCAATAGACGCAGCAAATTTGAGGAATGTGCAACTTCCTAACAACCCAACCTTGCTTAATGATATTGAATTAACATTTACAGTACTTTTGAAAATGCTAGCTCGAAAAATTACCGATGTGAAAATATTTTACATTAATTGGAAACTTCATTCTTGCTATCTTGATGAAGTTTCAAAAGGCGACATAAAAAACAATAATTTGAAACTTTTATTGCAACCAGAAATCAGTGATCTTTTAAAAATTACAATTGAATTACGTTGGTGGCAAACAAGGCCTTATAAAGGTTACTTTGTCGAATTCGCCAAGATTTGCTCAAATTTGGTATGGTACCAGAAATCTGTATTTATGTTTATCTTGAATGTATATTAATAATTCTTTTACATGAACTAATTAAAATGAATTTCCATTTAATATAGGAAAAATTAGTCATCAGTCTTGCCAACTTCAGTGAAAACCAAATTGACGATGCTGCAGAGTTTATTAGGTCACAAAGAAATTTAAAAGTATTAGAAATTTTTAATTGTAATTCTGGTATCCAAAAAATTCTTACCTTTTCAAGAGATCAAGCGTTATCTATACAAGCGATTATTTTATATCATGTAGATTTTTATGGATGTGAACCATTAACTAGTTTAACAAAATGTGAAAATTTAAGGCATCTATCTTTTCGTTATTGCACATATATACAAAAAGAGATGTGTAATCCGTTGTTCTCTGCTAATTTTCCTAACCTTAAAAAAGTCGAAGCACCATTTACTTCATGCCCAGAACTTGAAGAATGGGCTAGAAGTTATTTTTGATATATTATACGGAATTTCTAATTAACTAACAACTGTTAAATTGCTTATCACATCCTTCTTATAGTCTTTTATTTATTTTGTCTTTATTATTGTTTCTCTTTATAAAGCTCAGTGGTGAAGTAGATTTGTTTCTATATAAATTCTTTTTTTTTTGGAAATAAATTACTTCTTATTAAAATTTCTTATTTTTTTGAAAATAAATTTCTTATTACAAATTCCTTATTATTTTTTTTGGAAATACTGTTTGTCACTACCTAAAGTATCCAGTGTCTTATTCAAGAACCCAACTTTAAAATTGAATGATGACTCTGTGAAGAACCGGGTACTATATTGGGGATATATGGGTCTTTGCCTTGAAAATCAAGTTATGAGACATAGTAAATTATATGTTATATGTCTTATAATTTAATTTTCAAGGCAAACCCCTCATATTATATTAAAGTATCTCCAGGTCTTATTCAAGGAACAAGCCAGTAAGGTGGTGAATAATACCCGGGTTTTGCTCATGGGAATGTTATTTTGGGGGATACTGTAGGCAAGTGGCAACTGGTAAATTTCCTTAAATTCAAGCATATAAATAGTACCTTACAAGCAAGAAGTCAAGCATAAACCATGTTTCCGTCTCTCAAAATGCAATATGTCATGATTAAGTTAAACAGTCTACATAGACAGGTTTAGGTCAAAATACCAATTTATAATAAGTGAAAATATGCAAAGAATTTAAATAACAATACTAGAAAATCAAAATCTGATAGAGATTCGAAGCAAAGAAGTTTTTTAAAGGCCATATATATATATAGTCTTTAATGTAATAATTTGTACAAGTTATTAACTTTTACACCATCTACAGCGTAGAGGTCTGAATATTCGAATGTTCAAGTAATGAATTAATTTTATGATCTTATCTTTTTTAGTATATTTGAACATCTAGCCCCGCATGAGCAGTATGGAGGCTAATACGATAGCGTAGTGCACTTATGTCATAGAGTTGATTCCAAAATATGTTACCTTTCATATTGATTAAATTGTATAAAAAGTGGATTATTTATTTTAATAAACGATAGAACCTCGTTTCTATTATAAAGTTACGTGTCATAATGGTTTTTTCTCATTAAGTTCATACCATCATTAAGTCGTCCTTATAGAATTACTATGCATCGCTTCCCCATTCAATCGAAGTAAGTTAAATAAATAACCAATTAAAATGTAGATCAAAACGCCAATGTCAACTGTTTAAATCTATAATATCTACTAACGCTAAAGTTCACTTATATGTGATCAAAAAATCTTTAATACCTTTAGGATGATTAAAATATTCACCTCCTGTGATAATAATTCCATGCATAGAACCATAACTTATAAAAAAAAAGAAGTTTGTGACGTTAACTCATGACTTCAACAGTGATTAGTTTCGTGATTTCAATAACGGTTAGGTTCGTAACTTCATGGCCGCGATCTAATATGTAACAATAAGTACAGTTGAAAATGAAGAAACTAAAAATATTTGTCATCAAATATCATCGAATGTTCGTCGAATATTGAATGCTCTGACGATTATTTGAATATAAAGGATTGACCATGTGAATATCCGAATCGCGATTTTTTTTTACCTCTTCATGTGAACTATCATTTCGAGAATTTATTAGGTTCTGTCCACCTAACATTGTATGGACATGTATTCACTTTACCTAGACGTAAAGAATCCTCGCTTTGCTTAGGACAATAAATTTTTTAAACAAAAATAAGGTTTAAAACATATACATTTTAATTACTTGAATATTTTTATTTTATAATTATACATTAAAATTCAGAATTATATAATAACAATATACTTTTAGAGCAGTTAATATAAATGCAATATAAAATGAGTAATAAATTTTTAATTAAAATTAAGTAGGTTTTAAGTGTATATTTTATAAGGGAAGGTAGGGCGGGAACAGGAGGAACCGTCGATGTTACACAATAGATCCTTCACCCGGTGTGCAACATATGAAAAAATATCAGATCATTCCGCTAGTACATGTTATGATTATAATCCAACAGGAGGAACCGTTAATGTTACACATTAACCAAATTAACCCTTCACACGATGTAGTCAATCAATAATAAAATTATTTATTTTGTGTTTACTCTAAAATATATGTTATGGGGTGATCAGTTAAACTGAAATTATTTATATGTAACTTCAAGTGTAATGGATATAATCCCTCATTGGTGTAACATTAAGGGTTCCTCCTGTTTTATAATTCAACACCATTTTATAAGGCGGAATAATCTGGTATTTTTTTTATATGTTGCACACCGGGTGAAGGATCAATCGTGTAACATCGAAAGTTCCTCATGTTTGGCGCGGGTGGGTATTATGACGCACCTGTGCTTTTTGATGGTATAATGCGAAACACTTAAAATTTTAGTACCATTCGATTCGTCTTACTGAAACGAATCAAATAAGCATCCTTTAATTTTATTACATATTTCCTCATTTAGGTAATGTTCAGAGGAAAGATGCAGTAATACATAGTGAACATAGTGCGCCATAATACCCCCAAATGTATTTTTTGAGTAGATTTTGAAATTTCATATTTCAAACTTTTTTTGTAAATTCGGGGGAGAAGGGGAAACCACAAAATCGAATTGGTCCGGCCTAACTTTTGCTATCGTAAGATAATAAAGTTACAGCATAAATGGCAGAACTTATTATAGCTATTACATATTACAGACATAATTACAAAAAGTTACGGAAATTCGCCTGCATCACTAATTCCGATAATCGTTATCACGAGAAGCAACTGAATGAAACCGTAATTTGTAATTCAAATTAGAGCTAGAGGCTTGTACAGCCGAACAAAATTAAAATAAAAATTAAAAAAAACTTAGTAAAGTTGCGGGCTAAGCTTTTAATAATAATAGATTTTATTTTACAAACCGGAAAAAGTACAATTTTTTTAAGCCCATGCGGACCCCTAATTATAGTCATGAATTGGTACAGTACACATATTGGATCTTTGCCTTGAAAATCAAGTTATGAAACATAGTAAATTATATGTCTCATAACTTGATTTTCAAAGCAAAAACATACTTATAATTCGTACATATGCAGTTCTAGTTTTAATCGTAAGATAAATATGATTGTTCTAAGATGCATAACATAAAATTAGTCGAATGATCTATTGATATCAATAATCAGGTATGGCTTGCTAATACGTACAGTATTGTATTTAAAATTCAATATACATACTTTATTTGTCACACAAGGTACAATATTTCCCATTGTGATTTACCGTGTTAAGTTGCATATCGGATAATCGTTATACCTTTTGGGTAATAAATCTTACCGTTACTTGGATACAATTCCTAGTATAACCGCTATGACCAAACAACTGCGATTAAATTAGAAGTGTGAATATTATGTCTAGGCACTCAATTAATGTTTAAAAATCAAATTTCAGAATTTATGAATTAAAAATTTCATTGATAATAGGTCACCGCCCTATGTTATGTTACGCAACACTAAAATAGTGTTAAAAATCAACTGCGTAAAAATTTAATAATAATGACATGAATTAATTTCCAAACACGGGAAATAACGTGATTTGCGTTTCTTTAATTCTAGTCGGACAAAATTTTATTCAAGAAATCCGCTTCAACTCTATTACAAAAAGCTTAGCAATAATAATTTTACGTACTTCTAATAGTTTCAATGAGTATGCAGTCAGTTGAAGTAAAAGGTGCTCCAGAAATTCCAGGAGAAGGAAAACCAAGACGTAACGCTTGCTCTCCTGATAAATTGCTGGATTTTCCTCCTGAAGCAACTACTTTATATGAAAATTTTTTGCACGGAGTTAAGATATCAGGTAAGAACAAATTTTATATTTTTTAAAAAATTGAACTAATTCTTCATTCTATGATTCATTAACTCATTAATTATTCTAATTAATTACTATGTTCATGTAAAAAAAAAAAAAAAAAAGGGAGTAATAATTTTTTGGGACGTCGACCTATTGTTGATGGAGTCGCTCAACCTTATGTTTGGCAAACATATTCAGAAGTTCAACAACGTGTTGCAAATTTTGGTTCAGGCCTATGCAAATTTGGCTTGAAACCTAAAGCATCTCTTGGATTCTTTTCTATTAATACTCCAGAATATGTGAATTTTCATTTTTACTTTATATAATCTCTATATATATTTCTTATCCAAATTTTTTTTTTCTTAACAAATAATCTTTATTCATCGTTATAAATTAGGTTATCGCTGAACTTGCCTGTAACCAATACAATTTTGTATCTGTACCACTTTATGATACTTTGGGCACAGAAGCGCTTAAATTTATTATTAATCAGACAGAGTTGGAATTTGTATTTACTACTTCAAATAAAGGTCGAACTCTTTTAGATATGAAAGAATCAATACCAACTCTTAAAACTATCATCACCTCTGATGATGCAGATCAAGATTTTATAGATCAAGCTAATGGATTAAAAATTCAAGTTATCGAGTTTAAGACTGTAGAAAATGATGGTAAAACTCATAAGGCAGAAGAAGTTAATCCTAAACCTGATGATATTGCTACTATCTGCTACACTAGTGGTACCACTGGAATGCCTAAAGGTGTAGTTTTGACTCACAGGAATTTAATGGCAATAGTTTGTAGTTTAATATTCCTTGGAGAAAAAGGAAAAATGATAAAAATTACCAAGGATGACGTACATATTTCGTATTTACCATTGGCTCATGTTTATGAAAAAACAAGTGCTGCTACATTTATTTATGCTGGTTGTGCAATCGGATTTTATCAAGGCGATACTTTAAAATTATTGGATGATATTGCTGAATTGAAACCGACTATATTTATTTCTGTACCAAGGCTACTTAATAGAGTATATGATAAAGTGTTTGCTTCACTTAAAGGAAAAAGTAAAGTAGCTCAATGGTTGTTTACAACTGCGTATAATGCCAAAAAGATTGGCTTATCAAAAGGTCAAATTGATCATTGGTTGTGGGATAAATTAGTTT